GGTATTGGGCGTTGCAAACACCGCAATTAATGTTATCACCAGTAATCAAGGGATGGTTGTGCGCGAGTGAGAGGGCTGCTGACAACCCCTAGCTTGGGCATGCGCATAAACAAGTATGATATTAGAGTGCACACACACACGCACTGGAGTCTGTAGGTGTCTTAAATGCTGGACAAATCATCGGTGTGGCTTCAAGTCCAACTGCAGCAGTCTCCTGTCCCTCCTGTCTTAGGCGGCCGAAGTCAACGTCAAGAGGCTACAGGGACTGACACAATTCGCGCGGACAGACGTGTCGCGAGTTCGTCAACTGACGTCGCACCCGAAACTGTCGGCCCTTGCGCACGCACCAAATACTGCAAGTACATGCCCGCGAACGCGGAGGCCGTGGTGAGGTCAGGGTTAAGGACTTTGCCAGGACGCAATCAGCCGCACGAGAGCAGACGAGGGAAGGGGATCGCAAGAAGGGGCAAGATGGACGAACGGAGACACAGCATGGAAGACACGCGCACTGTCAGGAGGCGGGCAACAGGTGGGGCGGGCGGGGAGAGGCGCGCCGGAGGCCATACGTTGTCTGTCCGGCTCGCTGAGGTCCTCCTTCCAGGCATATCGGTTGCCGAAAATGCCCTTTCTGTGAATACTCAGCAAAAGTTAGACCATGGGCACTTGCTAACCGCCTATTCTATTCGATTTACTAAAAATCCTCCCCCCCCCACACAGTCGAGTTAGGAAGACGCTTTAGCCGAAAGCCGAATAACCGCCTCCAACTGAATATAGTGCAGTCGAAAACAATGATAGAGGCTCAGCACCTCGCTGTCGCCTCAAGTCCAGACCTTGCTGCACTTCCAGCTGGCCTCTACTGCAAATAGGTTCTCTCTCTCCCCTACCAGGGGGGGGGGGTTTGGGCAAGATATGAGTCAACAAATCAGTAGGATTTTTGAGCTTATGACCCAGCCCACTGAGATGTATGGAGATCAGGAAGACAGTCAAGTCAGAGGAGTTGCATGGTGGCTGTTTGTGCATTAAATGTCTCGACGAGAGAGAGCGCATTAACACCGCGGCTGGTTACCCAAAAATCGCTCTGTACCGTTCAGTGTTAACAGCCAAAGGCTTGGTGACAAAGCCATGGCTTCATTTGGTCCATGGTGTTATCTGATAAACGCAACAGCTGTTCACGCCCCGTAAATCGCCAGCTGCGTCCCTTCGATAGCCACTCAATAACCGGTAGTGGCTCCTCGAACTCTCCCAACTCCCTCAAGTTCTTCCGACACACGCCCAGCGACGTGGACGCGACTGGTTAATTACCTCTTTGCAACCGAATAAATTAGCGAAACTTTGTTTCGCAAAAAGCGATAACTACGCGGACACTACTCGAGAGCCGGGGGGGGGGGCGAATTTCAGTCAAGAATATTTGTGAGGAAAACTTAAGAAGAGAGGGATTTGTGGCTTGAATGACTACTTAGTTGCCCAAATTATAACAGTCTAGAATAGAAACCCTGCATGTTCGGGATTGCCGTACACAGATTACTAGGAGGCACTCCTACCCTACTTCGATGGAGGTAACTGTACATTTTCATATTACGCTGTGGAATGCTGCAGACCCGAGGAGTTTTGAAAATCTTGCAGATAAGGCTTATCGCGAGCTGGCTTTCATAATAAGCCGAGTCTTTATGCTAAAATAATCACTCATAGATAGTTTTATGGAGTTTCACGGTGATCTGTATAGACAACCAACCAGTAATTACTAAAAAAACCGTCACTACATAAATAAACCAACAGTCACTGCAACGATCCCTCTACGATATTGACCTGATCCTAGGATTGTCATATCAGCGTCCGCCGGCTACACTCGACCCGTGATGGTCTGTTTTTGATCCTTGATGACATGATCCGCACTTCAATTAAAGGTTTCCGGGTATTCAAGTGAAGGTAACAAAAGCTTAAGAAATTCGATTTTCTGTTGCAAAAATCCGTCGTTTCCGTTTTCTGGCCTGCGTCTACAAACTCCCGGTTTATCTTCCTACTATCAGGAAATGTGATCACGAGGGTCCTCGTACAAGAAGGTGACGGAATGCATTTTACCACGAGTAGAAAATTTGCCAGCCAGTCAAGTTAAAAGACCAAATCCTCCGGCAGAGGTAAGAGGCAACAGTACGAAGGATGCGCACTTTTAAAATATAACGTGCGAGCTTTGTACTTGTCCAAGTGGAGAAATGACTGATGCAGACGCCGTTCACATAAGTGTTGAATCAGCCGAATAGTCCACACGTACTTGAAGGCTACGACTGAACGTCACCATGTCCTGTAGGCTCCGTTCCTTCCAAGACGCTCGTGAGCTTGAAAGCTTTCAGAGGACATACCGATGAGTGCAGCACTACGGCTAGGCCTGGCAAGATGGCAGCCGCAAAAGTGCCGAATCAGCCAATGAAGACTTCGTCATAG